TGGACTCCTGGCCACATATAGTTCAGACCACATTCACATCTTCAGCCCTGTCTAGCTGCTTACGGGCAAAACCCAGAGGGCTGTACTGGCATGAACGCCGCCCAGGTTTCACAAGTGACTCCCGAAGTATGCATAAGTCATGAACGGAGGCCAAGCGAAAAGCGGAGAGGAGGCTCCCAGAGACAAAGAAATCACTAAGGGCCAAAGATGAGGATGCTGACAAAGCCAGAAGCAAACCAAGCCAGGATCTGCCAGTCGACCAAAACTACATGAGGATGAGAGTGTGTGTGAAGCAAAAAATATGAACACTATACCATGATTGTTTATGAAAAGTATCTTTAATAAAGCTGGATACAGTTTTGACTTGGTAAAAAAAAATATATATATATGAACACTGGGAAAAGAAATGTCCCCAAAGGATGGCAGAGATGATAGAGATTCTAAAACTAGGAGGCTGCCTGCAAAAGGCTACTGCTTTTAAGAAAAAAGACCAGACGCTGGCTTCCCTGGGCTGACAGAAACGAAAAGTTCCTAGGACGAGGCCTGATCAGGCTAGAGGCATGGAGGAAACATGGTCACCATAAAGAGCAGATGTCCAACTCATGAACTTTCTGGTAGATGGCAGAACTGAACACTGAGTAGACACAACCCATTAGGCCACTGTCTAAAAACTATTATGAGAGCCACTAGAGCGCCAGAAGAGAGGGCATTTTTTCTGGCCTAAAAGATGTGTCATGGGGGACAGAAAGTCCAACACAAGCTCCTGTATCTTCCAAACTATCTGGTTCCCCTGCTGAAAAGGGACTTCCTCCAAACCTACAGGCTCAAGTTAAGTTACCTTTGGGCCACAGGGATAAAGGAAAGACAGTACAGTGACACTAAGGAGCACCCCCGCCCAGCTGCGCAAGATAGCAAAGAGTGAGCTCAAGGGACAGAAAGGGCTAATGGGGACCACATAAGGCAACGGCGATGGAAAGAAAGATCTTTGCTCAGAAGGTAAGTGCTGAGAACACACTGCACAACAGTAAAATGAGGGTGGGCTGGAGAGATAGCTTAGTAGAATAAGCGCCTGCCAGGCAAGTGCAGGGTCCTGAGTTCAATCCCTGGTACCACAAAACAACAACAACAACAACAACAAAACCTGGGGGCTACTTGGCAGGCAACAGCTGGCAGTGGAGAGAGAAGAGCGGAGGAATCTGAACAGCTCAAGACCAAGGTGAAAGAAGCTCAAAGCCTGCAGGACAAACAGAGAAAGAGCGAGAGCCACCACTACAGCTGGCCTGAGAGACCGTCCAGAAGGGACTGCGCAGACAGAGGAGGAGACACGTGAGCTCGCTAGGGTGACGACATGATGAGACGGAGGTGACCACGGAGGCTCAAGAACACCCCAAATATAAGACACCACAGTTTCGCCAGCCCATGGAAGAAACGGAGTGACTGGAGCAGTTGATCGGAAAAGACACCACTGATTGTCAAATCTGAAGATGACTTCGTAGCCAGGGCTCTTTTGCCGGCAAAGGAAAAAAAAAAAGTGAACATCTGACACCAAATATAATGCCCAAGGGAAAAAGAGATGAAATACAAAAACTTTTATAGCTCTGAGATGCTGTGTGGGCCCCCAGGGAAGTGACGGGCATATAGCACAGGGAACCCAAAGAACTGGAATGACAGAAACCAGAGAAAACCAAAAGACAGGGACACAAAGTGGGTTGCTAGGACAGCCCCTCACAGAGGGGCACTCTCCAGGAGCCTCATCCGTGAGC